CCAATTGTGTTAATAAAAAATAATAAAAAATACAAATGCAATACAGTAATACTTATAACATACCCAAAGGCAGTGCCAGAATTTCCATACTGGGAAAGCTTAGGGGTGAGTATCTGGTTAGATGGAGAAACTAGCAGACTTAATTTGAAACAGCATTATTACAATTTTTATTCGGGGCATTTTGGGGCTCACTGGAAGGGGGCTGAAGTCCCTGAGCACCCCCTTGGCACTGCCCCTGAACATACCTGTGACCAACATTGAGTTGTTGTTACGACTTTGATGTCGTAACTTAAATAAAATGGTCCTGGCTCCTAAATGGCTGCTCAATCTGCTGTCTAGGGGCATTTAAATTACACTAAAAAAACAGCAACTCTAGGGCCAGCATGTACTCATACAAATTATGAAGCATGAGTGCAAATAATTAATGTTGTATAAGGAAAGACACAAAAACTTACCTATACAAAAATATATATAATATAATAATAGTAACTTGCATACAACTTACAATCTACTCCAAAAAACCACCACACTCCAGTTCACATGAGCTCACTAGCACACTGCTACTAATGAGTTAAAATATATAAACTGGGAGGCTTCATGATACCCCCCTTCCTTCCTGCCTGCTACTTAGCTTACAATTAAAGTATTAAATGCTCTCCAAAACACAGGCCCTTGCACACACAAGGGCTTTACAAATAAATGAGAGTACCAAAACAAACAAAATAGTATACATTAAAAAAACCTACCCAACACCACATACTCACGCCACTACATCTTGCTTCCTCTGCCGTGCATAACCTACTGCCTAAAGACCCCTCATCTGCTCCTGTCCTGGCCACTCTGCCTGTGACAGGAATAAAACGCATCCGCTCTCAGGGAATAATATACGTCCGCCTTCAGTTTAATCCCTGTACTATGGAGGATTATTTTATAAAAATATTTTTCTGTAGCACACTGCGTAATAGTTCTGTTAAGAAAAGCTTGGCCTGAGGCTAAACTTAACTGTTGACTGCCTGGCCTACAAGGCAGTTACTATCAGTGCCCAGCAGACTCACATAATTTTTAATCTAGCTAATCTGACATTCGTTGCAAGAAGTGGTACAGTTTTCTTTAGAAAACTTCCAAAATCTTGGTCTCTTGAAAACTGGCCAAAGCCATAGATAATGTCTTAACTAAACCAAATAAACCTCTCATCCAGCCTGCAGAAACAGTCATATTAAATGATTTCTTCTCTACTATAGGATCTAGACCAGCTAGCAAAATCCCAACTTCAAATGCTCAGGCAAGTGATTACCTTACTAGAAATTTCCCAAATTTACTCAAACTCCAACTAATCCTACTAAAGTCACACTTATAATAAATTCAATGAAAAAAGACAGGAAACCTAACTAATTTATGGCCACTAATGTACAAAAAAGCAGCTCATGTGCTGTCACCCACTACTGCAACTTTGTTCAACAAATCATTACAATCTGTAACTTTACCAACAATGCTTAAAGTAGCAAGGGTTATCCCAAAACTCAAAGGAGGCTATCCAACTGAGGTAAATAACTATTGGCCAATATATTTTTTTATGAATTTTGTATTAAAATGAAAAATTGTGGTAGCAAAGGACCTCATAATTATGTGACACAGGTCTCTCAACAGATTTATTATACAGCTCTCTAATGTGACAGTCATTGGCATTAACCCTTTCAGGGTCCGTGCCATAGATCTACGATTTTACATTGAGGGTCCAAACCGTAGATCTACGCCATGAGCTCAGCTCACTCTGATAACCTGTGAGTGGTAAATTTGGGCCTAGATATAAGAGAATACATCTTTGTGGTATGTGTGCACCACATAAAACAAATCCTGCAGCACACAGTGTATAATGAGAGAAAAAAAACTGAGACCGTGATTTTCAATTAAAACAGCGACTTTGCAGTGTTTTTTTGTATGTTTTTTTTATAGTTGCATTTGCGATTTCTTGGTCTCATTTGATAGAATGGAATATATATTACAGAAATAGAGATGATTTTGATTGGTTTTAGTACTGGAAATGGCTTAAAACTGAGCTCAAAGTAACGGAAATATTAAATTTTTGCTGATGTTCAAGAGTTAACAAACGACCTCACACATCTAATACACGCCAGCTGGTGGGTCTAATATACATTCACAAATGTGGTGATGATATTTATATAATTATTACAACACTGCATAACAGTAAATCTTCTATTTTTTAGTTTGAATAAAAATTCATTATGTGAATAAAAAATCAAAATGGAATTCATTTGTAAAGCCTGAAAACATAACTAATGAACAGAGGAAATGTTAGTTTAGTGCCAGGAATGCCTGCATTGTTTATTCTGGACCCTATTTTGAAATTTGAATATTTTGAACTTTGTGTTAAATTGGCCAAATTACCAATTTCCAATCACTTTATTTTGTAGTTGAAACAGCTGACTGAGCGATTTCTTGTGCTCAATCGATAGAATAGAAGTATACTTGTGAAATAGCTAAGAATTTTGTTGACTGGAATAATGTAATTGGCCTAAAATGGGAGTCAAAGTCGGCAAAATCGCCGATTCGTAAATATCGCTGACACATCAAAATTCTCGAGAGCATAATTTCGTCAATTTTCCATCAAATTTCGTACTTTTTGTTGTATTACCTTCAGAAAAAGATTCTCTACCATTTCATAAGAAAAAATGACAAATTTTTTGTTTTTAAATTCTTGGACTCTGGTGCACACTATGAAATTTGGCCTCTGGACCCTGAAAGGGTTAAAAAAGCAACTAATTTTTCAAAATAAAATTTTGTTTGGTTTTATATTATTACTGGGTACTGCAGTCCATACTGATCTTTCAATGAAATATTAAATATTTATGTTCAGTGTTTAAATATGAGCAATAACTATATTATTATTATTATAATCAGGGGGGAAGCGCTAAACCCGGAGGATTACACAGCGCCTGGGGGGGATGTGGAAGGCATTCAGGCTTAATTCGGGGAACTGGAGCACAGATCCAATTCCCTAAATCAAGAGCCCCTCACCAACATCAAGGAACCTTCCTTGAGGGGAGCAATAACTATAGCTATGAAATATAAATGACTTTCAAAACTATTGAGACTTGCAGTATAAAGTACAGCAGCACAAGTTAATTGCTTTGCTCCCATAAGAAAAAATTGCACCTATACAACGTTAAATAAACCCTCAGTCATTTTCTTTTACTCCTATTTGGATAATGGATATGTGTATCTGGCAAATTCTTGGACTGGTGAGTCACCCTGGAAATTTAATCATCTTTTAGATGTCAATTGCACTTAGCGGTAAGTATGTACCTGGGAATTAGCCGATTGGTGTGGGTTGCATCCTGGTAACAAAATTAACCTAATTTTCCAGAAATGCTCTGCATATATAGTATGTCAGTGATGTCAGCTAGGTCTGTATAAGTTGTATCATGTACATGTAGTAATATTATTATTATTATTATATCATTATACTAGCTAGGTTTGCAAGAGATTGAAGAACTTTAACATTTTCTTTCTACCACTCTAATGGATCTCCTTTAGGCATTAATGCTATTGCTATATATTTGTTTATTTTTTGTTTTTATGTTTGTGATAACATAAATGCTAGTGTGCTGCTTGATGGTACTAGAAAACCTGCTGCACTCTCTGAGTTCTTGAGCTGCTGACTTCTCCCCTGAATTTCTTTATTGGTACATGTCTTATAACAATAATATCTATATTTACTACATGTACAAGGCATACAGACCATAGCTGACATCAGTGACATACTACTATATAATGCCCCTTGTTATGCAAAGCATTTCGGGCAAATTAGGTCAGTTTCATCCCAGGATGTGACCCACACCAGTCGACTAACACTCAGGTACCCATTTTACACTGATGGGTGAACAGAGACAGCAGGTGTCTTATGGAAACACATCCCTAATGTTTTCCAGCCATACCAGAAGAGATCCAAACCCCGGACCTCTGTGCGTGCACCCTCGTGTGTGTGTGTGCGTGCGCTCATGGGGGTGTATGACCCACTTAATATTTGTACTTATAACTGGATGTGTCAATGGCTCATTACTTTGTAATTTGTTCATGTAATTTGTTGTAATTTGTTGTAGAGGAGTGTAGATGGTTCATTAGCTTTGTAACTTGCCATGATTGTGACCAGATCTACCTGGAGTTCATTACCTTTGTAACTAGTTCAGCTATCGCAACTCTGGGGTCCAGTCCCTGGACCCATTATGGACCTCTGTAATCTTCTGACTACTGCCCACAGGATGGGTATGGGGTGCATAATAAAGATACTAAACTAACTAAACTAGACCTCAGTGTGTGAGCCGAGTGCACTAGTGATCAAGCTACGGGACACCTTCGGCATGGTATACATTATAATTAGTACATATATTTAGGTCACCCTGCACATTGAAGTGTGTCTCGTGCCTGGCAGAATGTGAACAAAGATGGTTCAGGTTATGTAATCAAATCAAATGTTACCCAAATTAGTCAAACTTAACCTTGACTAAATAATACCTAACATAACATAATGGAATGTACCCTAATTTTCATTAATATCTTCCAAAATAAAATTTGCGCAAGAAATATTTAGTTTATGATGTACTGAGGTGTAAAATACTGTTCAGTTTTTGCAGTGGTTTTCAGTAACCATAACTCAATTAAATAATTTGCTGAGAAGCAGTTTTCCATTATTACTACATTTTCTGATAATGACTTGTGGCTTAAAGTAGCACCCTCAGTGTATAACCGAAAAACCTCGGTTCAGTCCTGGGGGTGGAGATGCTAGGCATGTTTCCTTACACCAGATGCCTCTCTTCACCTAGCAGTAAGTATTCAGAGTGTTAGTTCACTATTGTAAGTTGCATCCTGGTGAAGAGGACTAAAAACTTGCAAGGACTAAAAACTCAAATGGCCCAAAAAGTCAAAATTATTTAACTCAATATTACCTTTATTATTATTATAATCAAAAAGAAGAATATTACCTTTAGCAATCAATGTGGTCCTTCGTTCGTGTGTAATATTCTTGTATATTATTCTTCTTTCTCAAGATACGTTCAGTTTACTCAGAGGTTCTTATGCTTTCTTGGGTTTATCAGGGTCACTGACAGATTTTTACTTACAGGTTCTTTCTTCTTTTTCTTTTCTTTGTTGTTGGGTACTTATAGGTTTCAACTGGTGATTTGTTCTTTTCTTTGTTGGGTTTATCCGGGTCACTCACAGCTTACGCAGACTCGAGCTTGACTTCCCGATGTTCGGGGAAGATTTCTCAAGTTTTTATTCAGTACAGGTACACATAAATACAGTTACAAAGATTATCATACATAACAGCATATGTGTAGATTGCCTAGGATAACCCCCAAAAAAGTCAGAGTAACTTATTTCCATTGGGCCCTTGTGATAAGTATTAATTATATTTAAAAGTTAAAAACAGGTAGGTATCTTAACTATGTGAAAAGTAGTTATAACGAAAGGAGATATACCAGACGTAAAGTAAAATCAGATACTTACATTGACATTAAATATAGTATCAGATCATTGTACATTGGGGTCCTTGATTTATTAACACTGGAGCCAATCAGCATACCTTAATTCGGCTGTATTGATAATTTAGTCACACAGAACAGTCACAAATTATTTACGTTGATGGTTCTGTTCACCAGTCCACTGGTGCAGCTGATAGTGCTGCTGTTGTCATACAGAGTGATGGCTCTCATAAAGAAATTGGAGCACGCATCAATAAACGGGCCTCTACCCTTCAAACAGAACTGTTTGCCATACTCCTTGCACTCAAATGCGTCCATGTATCTAAGGTTGACACTTTAATTGTAATTGATTCTCTGTCATCCATAAATGTTGTCAACTCATTAAGAATAAATTGTGGCATGCTTGTGTCAGAAGCCAGACATAGGTATTGTAAGATTGTGGACAGGGGGAGTCAGACTGCACATTACATGCTGTGGATTCCATCTCACATTTATTGGTCTTCGGATGCATGATAGAACTGATGAACTGGCTAAGCTGTATGCTTTCAAAGAGGGAGTAGATTACAATCTTGGGTTGTCAGTTAGCAGTTTGAGAACAATAATACGAAAAGAACTTCAATTGAACTTTATTGACTTAAGACTTAGGGAGATTGGCACAAGTCAGTCCATCTATCATCATTCCATCATGGAGGAGGAACCACATGTCTATGGTACTTCCAACAAGATAAGCAGACTCTTGGATGTCACTACCGCCCGGCTCCGGCTGGGTTACAAGTATCTTTGGCAGGTTAAATCACCACCACCAGATGTATTATTATTATAATAAAAAAGAAGCGCTAAGTCACAAGGGCTATACAGCACCACCAGATGTAGACCAAATGAAATGTAAACTTTGCCAGATGGACTATTCTCACACCCTGCGTCATTACGTACCAGAGTGCAATAAAATTAATGAATTTAGAGATAACTCACTCAGAAATGTTCGAGAAATGGCAAGTATTTTATCCACAGTGGTATATCACAGACCATTCTGGATAAATACCCTGACTTTGCTAGCTGTAAATAAAATATTACCACGCGTGTGTACTCACCTAATTGTGGTTGCAGGGGTCTAGACTCAGCTCCTGGCCTCGCCTAGGTGTGTGTGTGTGTACTCACCTAATTGTGGTTGCAGAGGTCGAGAATCAGCTCCTGGCCCCGCCTCTTCACTGGTCGCTACTAGGCCCTCTCTCCAGCTACTTCATGAGCTTTGTCACACCTCGTCTTAAAGCTATGTATGGTTCCTGCCTCCAGTACGTCATTAGGCTATTCCACTTCCTGACGACTCTATGACTGAAGAAATACTTCCTAACATCCCTGTGACTCGTCTGAGTCTTCAGCTTCCAACTGCGACCCCTTGTTTCTGTGTCCCATCTCTGGAACATCCTGTCTCTGTCCATCTTATCTATTCCACGCAGTATCTTGTATGTCGTTATCATGTCTCCCCTGACCCTTCTGTCCTCCAGTGTCGTCAGTCCGATTTCCCTCAACCTTTCATCGTAGGACATTCCCCTGAGCTCTGGAAGTAGCCTTGCTGCAAACCTTTGTACTTTCTCTAATTTCTTGACGTGCTTGACCAGGTGTGGGTTCCAAACTGGTGCTGCATACTCCAGTATGGGCCTGACGTACACAGTGTACTGCGTCTTGAACGATTCTCAGGTTTGTCAGGCGCCAACATGCTGCAGCAGTTATCTGGTTGATGTGTGCCTCCGGAGACGTGCTAGGTGTTATGGTCACCCAAGATCTTTCTCCTTGAGTGAGGTTTGCAGTCTTTGTCCACCTAGCCTATACTCTGTCTGCGGTCTTCTTTGCCCTTCCCCAATCTTCATGACTTTGCATTTGGCAGGGTTGAATTCGAGAAGTCAGTTTCTGGACCACGTGTCCAGTCTATCCAGGTCTCTTTGTAGTCCTGCCTGATCCTCATCCGACTTAATTCTTCTCATCAACTTCACATCATCTGCGAACAGGGACACTTCAGAGTCTATCCCTTCCATCATGTCATTCACATATATAAAAAATAACACTGGTCCTAGAACTGACCCCTGTGGGACCCCGCTCGTCACAGGCGCCCACTGTGATACCTCTTCACGTACCATGACTCGTTGTGTGTGTGTAGTCACCTAGCTGTACTCACCTAGTTGAGGTTGCAGGGGTCGAGTCCTAGCTCCTGGCTCCGCCTCTTCACTGGTCGCTACTAGGTCACTCTCCCTGAGCCGTGAGCTTTATCATACCTCTGCTTATAGCTATGTATGGATCCAGCCTCCACTACATCGCTTCCCAAACTATTCCATTTCCTGACTACTCTGTGGCTGAAGAAATACTTCCTAACATCCCTGTGATTCATCTGTCTTCAACTTCCAACTGTGTCCCCTTGTTGCTGTGTCCCATCTCTGGAATATCCTGTCTTTGTCCACCTTGTCAATTTCTCTCAGCATTTTGTAGGTCGTTATCATGTCCCCCTATCTCTCCTGTCCTCCAGTGTCGTCAGGTTGATTTCCCTTAACCTCTCCTCGTAGGACATACCCCTTAGCTCTGGGACTACTCTTGTTGCAAACCTTTGCACTTTCTCTAGTTTCTTTACGTGCTTGGCTAGGTGTGGGTTCCAAACTGGTGCCACATACTCCAATATGGGCCTAACGTACACGGTGTACAGGGTCCTGAACGATTCCTTATTAAGATGTCGGAATGCTGTTCTGAGGTTTGCTAGGCGCCCATATGCTGCAGCAGTTATTTGATTGATGTGTGCTTCAGATGTGCCTGGTGTTATACTCACCCCAAGATCTTTTTCCTTGAGTGAGGTTTGTAGTCTCTGGCCCCCTAGACTATACTCCATCTGCGGTCTTCTTTGCCTTTCCCCAATCTTCATGACTTTGCACTTGGTGGGGTTGAACTCCAGGAGCCAATTGCTGGACCAGGTCTGCAGCCTGTCAGATCCCTTTGTAGTTGTGCCTGGTCTTCGATCGAATGAATTCTTCTCATCAACTTCACGTCATCTGCAAACAGGGACACTTCGGAGTCTATTCCTTCCGTTATGTCGTTCAGAAATACCAGAAACAGCACTGGTCCTAGGACTGACCCCTGTGGGACCCCGCTGGTCACAGGTGCCCACTCTGACACCTCGCCACGTACCATGACTCGCTGCTGTCTTCCTGACAAGTATTCCTTGATCCATTGTAGTGCTTTCCCTGTTATCCCTGCTTGGTCCTTCAGTTTTTGCATTCATCTCTTGTGTGGAACTGTGTCAAACGCCTTCTTGCAGTCCAAGAAAATGCAATCCACCCATCCCTGAAACCATGCTGGCTGCTGTTGATGAGATCATTCCTTTCTAGGTGTTCCACCACTCTTCTCCTGATAATCTTCTCCATGACTTTGCATACTATACATGTCAGTGACACTGGTCTGTAGTTTAGTGCTTCATGTCTGTCTCCTTTTTTAAAGATTGGGATTACATTTCCTGTCTTCCATGCCTCAGGCAATCTCCCTGTTTTGATAGATGTATTGAATATTGTTGTTAGGGGTACACATAGCACCACTGCTCCCTCTCTCAGGACCCATGGAGAGATGTTATCCGGCCCCATTGCCTTTGAGGTATCTAGCTCACTCAGAAGCCTCTTCACTTCTTCCTTGGTTGTGTGTACTGTGTCTAGCACTTGGTGGTGTACCCCACCTCTCCGTCTTTCTGGAGCCCCTTCTGTCTCCTCTGTGAACACTTCTTTGAATCTCTTGTTGAGTTCCTCACATACTTCACGGTCATTTCTTGTTGTCTCTCCTCCTTCCTTCCTTAGCCTGTGTACCTGGTCCTTGACTGTTGTTTTCCTCCTGATATGGCTGTATAACAGCTTCGGGTCAGATTTGGCTTTCGCTGCTATGTCGTTTTCATATTGTCGTTGGGCCTCCCTTCTTATCTGTGCATATTCATTTCTGGCTCTATGACTGCTCTCCTTATTCTCCTGGGTCCTTTGCCTTCTATATTTCTTCCATTCCCTAGCACACTTGGTTTTTGCCTCCCTGCACCTTTGGGTGAACCATGGGCTCATCCTGGCATTTTCATTATTCCTGTTACCCTTGGGTACAAACCTCTCCTCAGCCTCCTTGCACATGGTTTTTACATATTCCATCATCTCATTAACTGGCTTCCCTGCCAGTTCTCTGTCTCACTGAACCCCATTCAGGAAGTTCCTCATTCCTGTGTAGTCCCCTTTCTTGTAGTTTGGCTTCATTTGCCCTGGCCTTCCTGCTTTCCCCTTCACTTGTAGCTCTACTGTGTATTCGAAGCTTAAAACCACATGATCGCTGGCCCCAAGGGGTCTTTCGTATGTGATGTCCTCAATATCTGCACTACTCAAGGTGAATACTAAGTCCAGTCTTGCTGGTTCATCCTCTCCTCTCTCTCTTGCAGTGTCCCTTACGTGTTGGTACATGAAGTTTTCCAGTACCACCTCCATCATTTTAGCCCTCCATGTATCTTGGCCACCATGTGGCTCCAAGTTCTCCCAATCGATTTCCTTGTGGTTAAAGTCACCCATGATCAGGAGCTTTGCCCTGCATGAATGAGCTCTTCTGGCCACTGGAGCTAGTGTGTCAACCATCGCTCTATTGCTCTCATCATACTCTTGCCTTGGCCTCCTGCTGCTCTGTGGTGGGTTATACATTCCTGCAATTACCACTTTGGGACATCCAGAGTGAAGCGTTCCTGCTATGTAATTGCTTGCTTCTCCGCTGTCTCCTCTCTCCAGCTCATCAAAATTCCATTGGTTTTTGATCAGCAGTGCCACTCCTCCACCCCCCTGTTCCCTCTGTCTTTCCTCAGGATCTGGTATCCTGTTGGAAAGATGGTATCTGTTATCATACCTGTAAGCTTGGTTTCTGTGAGAGCTATGATGTCCAGTGATGCCTCTTTGACTCTTTCGTGCCACTCTCCCACTTATTTGTTATTCCATCAGCGTTTGTGTACCATACCATCAGTTTCCTCTCCAACCCTGTGGTTTGGGGTGCTTGTGAGGGTGGGAGACCTGGTAGCGTACTGTGGGATTCTATAGCTGGGTGTTGGGTGGAAGCTGTGAGTATGGATTGTAGACTGTAGTGTTGGGATGGTGTGATAGATTGTGGGGTTCTGAGGATGGTTCTGTGTGTGCTTGCCCTTGCTGCTCTGTCCTGCTCTGATTGACCTCTGCTGGTTCCGTCCTTGTCTCCTTTCCTAGCTCCTTTTGCTTTTTTGTCCTCTCCCTCAGCTGCTGTCGTTCTGTTTGTGTTCTGTCTCTGTCTAGGAACACCCTCTTGTACTCTTCCGAGTACTTCTACCGTGGTTTCTCTTGGAGGATCCTGTTCCACACTGTTTCTGTCCTGAGAATCAGCTTGATCGGTCGTTTTCTCCCCTTCAAGTACCCCCCTATTCTCTGAAAATTTACAATCTCGTCCATGTCTTCTTCACCTATTTCTGTGATGATGTTCTCAATCTCCTTTC